CAAATCCAATAATTTGAGCATATATACATAAACTCATTTGAATTAAATAATACTTAAATTTAACTAATATTATAAAAAAATTAACTAATTTACGTAATTCACAATAATAATTCATCACACTTAAGTAATGTTTCAAATGTCTAACCTTAATTAAATATTATAAATCCTAAATTAGGCATTCACAATATTTGCTAATAAAGAAATCCTATAATTATATTTAAGCATATATAAACTCATTTGAATTAAATAATACTTGCATTTAACTAATATCATCTATAATTTAACTAATTTACGTAATTTTAATTAAATACAACTCCTTAATTAACCCTATGTTTAAATTACACCTACGTTTAACTAATTTTAACTAATTTATTTCGTTAATTAATTAACAACCTTTTTTTAAATGCATTTAATTTAAATTTAACTAATATTAACAAAAATTTAACTAATTTATTAGCTAATTAATTAATTTAACTTAATGTGTCACTACGATTAAACCTACGTTTAACTAACTAATTTTTCACTAAATTAAATGAAATCTATATAATTCGTTACTTAATTAACAATCTCTCTAATTTAATAGTTTATTACACTTAAAATGAACCAACTAATTCATACAAAAAAACGTAATTCAAATTACATACCTTATCTACATAAACAGGGAAAATGATATAAGATGGCTACATTACATTCTTCAATTCAATCTTTCAAACAGTTTGTGTGGTTCTGTTGGATGAATCTGTTGCTGCATATATAAAATAATTAGTCACGGACGTAGTCACGGATCTGTCCGTGACTACGTTAATTCGTACAAATTACCAGTACATATTAACTTTGGAGCGTTGGAAAATTTAATTTTGGATGTTGTCATGGAATTAGTCACGGAATATTAACTTATGGCGAAAAATCCTGCCGGAAACACAACGAAGATTCATGTTTAAGTTTAGTCACGGAATCAGTCACGGATTTGTCCGTGACTAATTTCAAATTTAAAAAATAACCCGCCGGAGGCACAATTGGGTTGGCCGGAATAGGTTTGTCACGGATACAATCTGTGACTTCTTGTAGTCACAGATGTAGTCACGGTCATATCCGTGATTACTTTTTTTTTAAATCCATGACTAGCCCGTGACTAGATCCGTGACTAGATTCGTGGCTAACTAATCACGGACTAAATCTGTGACTAGCGTCCGTGACTACAAGTGTGTTTTTTTGTAGTGTATTAGAATACAAATAAACAGTTATTAAATGATTATATAATTGTAACATATATTATGAAACGGAAAAGAAATGGTTTAAGAAAACTAAATTGTCATAATCCATTTCAGCGACCAAGTATTGTATACTCAACACTACTTTATGGGATATAAAAAACAATACACTGTCAAATATTTATTTCATTGAAGCTAAGGTGGTTGAACATGAAAATAATGATAAAGTTTTAACATCTATATACCATTTTATATAGAAGGAACACGTAGATAAGTGCAAAGTTTGACATCGATATTGGAAGGGGAATCTAGTAGCAACTTTTTGCACAAGCCATCAACCGTAACATAAAACACTATTATTCACAAACTTGGCTTGAAATTAGCAGAGATTTTGGCTGAAAACTTGTGTGTTGTCAAAGCAAAAGGGATGATACATAAAATCAAAAGCATAAACAATAATAAGAAAAATAACACATTTACATCTTTAAATACACAAATATTTGACAAAAAGAACAAGTACAACAAAATCATAAAAGAAAAGTACTATGTAAACAAAAGTCATGGATTAGTAAAAATACGTAGATATATTTCAAACAAGTATTTATTTATTTTTTGGTAAACAACAAGTATTTATTTGATTACAACATAAATCAACAAGGTTTAGATACATGTAAGATATAACTCACAATTCAAATCAAAGAGTCGTTTTTGTTGAAAACTTTATCCAATAACGAATGAAAAGTAATATCACGTATTATGGTGTCATTTATATAGAAATTTTAACGTCACATGATTGAGTAGATATTACGTTAGCCATGTGTTTCATTAAAAGCTCCTTTTCAAAAGATTATGTCCTTGTTAGATTCTTTTCTCAATCTATTATTGTTCAAGTATTAAATAAATCAACCTCTTTTTGTTTAAAAGGTCAACAATGGTTCATCGTGAGCTGGTTTACGCACTCATGGTTCATCGTGAGTTGGTTTACGCACTCATGCAATGTATGACAGTGGATGGATATGATTGCGGATTTCACATTTTTTAACAAAAGTAGATGATTTATTGCTCTAATTTCTCTTTCAGTTGCTTTTACTTGACTGCTATTTCTTACTTTAGACTGAATATAACTGATATAATAATTCTAATACAATTATGAAAAGCAAATAATAAATTAGGTTTATCAACCCATCAATTAACAATTTTACACAATGAAGACCATTTCAAACCACAGATGGGAAATTATTATAGATTATATTTGAACCACAAATCATAAGTAGTCTCTAGCAAGACATTATAGTTATAAAAGTTATATAAATGTCTATTAAATCTGACTTAACATGTTTTAATAATTTATTGTACCAATTAATTTCCTCTTTATCAAATATTAATTGCTTGAGAAAAAAATTGGTTGTTTTTTCAACCGTAGTTTACTAACTTCCAAGTAATATTAATCTTAACAAGTGATACCTCACTTGTACATGGTCAAGTTAATTAATCTTATGGTCAAGCTAATTAATGTTATGTGTCAACTATCAAGTGACCCAATAGTTATCTGACTCCCACATTAAGTGAGTAACAAAAAAAACTCTTCAATCATTCACATACCTCTACTGGGTTCATAATATTTCTAACTATCAATATTTTCATTACTTGTTTAAAAGTAACGCGTAAAAAGCATAAAGCGCATATCATTATTTGAGAATTGTAGTGATTACATACAACCAGTATAGTGGCATCAAGATGAGTCTCTCCAAATATGAAATTATCTAATATCAATCAATGTGTGTGTAGAGAGAAAAAGATCACATGTGACCTATCTATATGCATAATCATTAGCTAATTGCATGGGTCATCTATCTTAATACTACTCTCTTTTACGCTTAACTGCGGAGTTCTAGGAGATGAGCTCTCTTAAAAGAAGGTGCAACTTGTTGGTATGAGTAGTACTAATAATTCTTTTAAGCCAATCTTGATTATACAATTACCCCTACTTAGGAATGCAATGTACATGTTGCGTCTGTAAGCTAATCCAATGAATCCCTAGATTCCTCTTTTGCTAATTGCCCTTCCGATTTCCATCGGATTAGCGCACTATCACATATTTGCTCTGATATCACATTGTACACCCCGACTCCTCGGGATCTATGGTCGTTAGTCCTGGATGTGCGCTACAAACCTAGGACTATCCTCACAAATCAACACAATGTTTTACCGTGCATTTTGTCTTTACTCGTGCGCGCACTGAGAAACATCCTCGAGGGTCATTCATCCTAAGACTATCCCATACAAGCACGCTTAATGGTGAGGTTCTTAGAAAATGAGCTCACTTAATAGAAGGTGCAACTTTTTGGTATGAGTAGTACTATTAATCTTTATAAGCTAATCTCGAGTATTACATACGAGTGTTCGATCAAACAGGTCGATATCAGAGCGGCAAGCTCCTCAACGGCCTAGCAAGCAATCTAAAATTAGAATCTGTTTTCTATTGGGCCTAATACTATATTAATAAAAAACTGATGCCATATTTCGAAGAGGGGCCATGTGCCCTTGCATCACCTGCCCACCGGCCATGCACTAGACTCATAGTAACTTTGTCATATTTTCGTAAATAATTTTTTGTTGAAAAGGTACTTTTTAAAACAACATTAATATTATCCTCTGAGGGAACCTAGACGAAAACAAGGAGTGCAGGCGACTGGGGCCATTTTTTAACCCACTTGGTTCACTTGGTTTTCTTGTTTGTTGTTACGGAATTTCTCCGGTGAGTTGTAGCAGCTCCAGCTAAGACGATTGTCAATGAAGATACAACGAAGGGAATGGGGATCCTCCTAAACCTCCAATGATAACAATGATAAACTTCTCTCATTTTTCGGATTCAGTATTTGCTTGCTGCAAATCTACCGTTTTTGTTCCTTGCCAGCCCTGGCTACATAAATATATCATAGAACCTCTGATTAATGCATAAATTTTATTTCGTTGCTAACAACTTATAATCCAAACAATCGTAAATGGGCGAACTGAAATATTACAATTAGTAACGTTTTGAATAGGTTGATTAAATACCGATCTAGCAAAGTTCCGTTTTCATCTAAATAGAGTTATATGTGAATACATTGTCTGAATCGGACAAACTTCATCTTATATAATGTTGAAAATATCATCCAAACATAAACATAGTCATTATACTTTTTTTTAACCAACATAGTTATTAGATGGCAATATTATCTTGTCCTATTTGACTTAGCGAATTTTCTTTTCTTACTTTCACCAAAAACTTTATCACTTTTCCTTTAAAGTAAGTAATTTGTGATTATATTTTTTTCCACTCCTCTCAATCACATAATTTTTATATTTATCATTTCACACCTAACACAAATTAAACTTGGAAATATACAATGAGAATAAAATGATACGTAGTACTATATATTGCTCTAAGACTCTAATACATACATGATACATGTGTATTTTTTTATACAGCCGAAAATAATATAATAATAATACATGCGCACTTGCAACCTTGAGAATTGAGAATGAAATATATCTCCATGCCACAATTATGTGATGTGATATGCATGTAATGTTATTTGTAAATAGTGGTATGCATATTGATTCATATTAATCCTTAGATCTAGAGAGAAGATAGAGAGAAATGAATAAACAAGAGAGATAAAATGTACGGTGTGAATGAAATTAAATTTAGGGTTACAACATGAACATAGGGTCTATTTATAAAGACAATCGGGCCTGGGCCTATAACAGCGGGCCCAAAATAATAAATGTAATCTCGAGTACCCTTGGTCCAAGATAATATATATCTGTCAGGAGACCTCCACTCCCTAAGGCGAAGCCTTCGAGTTGAAAGGGAATAGCCCAATTTCTATCTGAACTACGTCCATTGCTCTTGATGCCTTGCTCGATTTGGAAAGGATCTCTGACCTTTCCCGCGATGAGGTGATGCCTCATTAAAAACCCTCCTTTAGAAAAAATCTTTTGGAAAAAAAATCCTAACCGAGGAGAAAGAGTAAAGCGCCCTCGAAGCGAGTGTAGGGAGAAAGTGCACAGTCTGGCGAGCTTAGAATTGGTCAGAAGAGGATGTTTTGGATCAGTCTTAGAACTGATAGCCATCTATGAGGAAGATGATTAAGACTGGTCTTCTACGGTGTCTAATGTATCTAGTCCGCCGAGCCTCGTATCCTCGAGCTCGATCATACTGGCTTGGTCTCGGCCTCGGTAACGTCGTGCTTGACAATCTCCTGTACAAGATCATCCTTTGCTTCCTTGGACATGGTGAGTCCTCCCAATCTCCCACTCCTTGATGCGAGTGGAGATGAGGTTAAAAGGAGTAAGACAGTCCTTATCTGGTTGTACCTACACATTAATGAAAATATCAAATGTGTAATAGGTGTGCAAACAGACTGTAGGTGTTAGACCATGATGGTGGCCTTGACCCACTATAGAACATGCTTACCGATGATCTTTCGGGCCTAAACCAAGAGTCGGCCTTGGCACGACATAGAACAGGATCAATACCGCGACATCGGGTCTAGACCACAATGTTGGCCACGACATCAATTCGATATAAATCACATAAACTCATTTTTCTTAATAGTACACCACCTCCTTTAGTGTCCACTACCTTAGTACTTCTTAGTGGACACTATCCATATTTAGTTAATATGAACATAAATGTAACTATAACTATAACTATAACTATAACTATAACAATAATACTTACAATTATAACTATAACTATAACAATAATTCTATTTATAACTATAATTATAAGTACAATCGTAGGCATAATTAATATCATAATTATAATTATTATGATAATAATGATAACAGTTATAATAATCATAACAACAACAACAATAGTAGTAGTAGGAGGAGGAGGAGGAGGAGGAGGAGGAGGAGTAATAGTAGTAGTAGCAGTACCAACAGCAGCAGCAGCAGGAGTAGGAGCAGCAGCATGAGAAGCAGCATCAGCTGAAAAATCATTTGATAAGTAATAGTCCTCCGACTCGATGTCAATACATATTCTATGTGCAAAGTGATGTATTTTGACCATGACCAGCACTTGCAATCCAATTGGGGTAGACACAACATATGTTGGGTGCATCACGAACATATGATTAAGTGAGAACATTCTATTTCTCATATCTAGATGAATCATAAAGGCATTGACCAATGCAAAGATATATTCATTTTGGATCTCGAATATGATTTTTGGGGATCATGTAGAAAGATTGAGAGATAGAGACTAAGTTATTGGAATAGACACGGTATCAAGTTCTAGACTTAGTTTAATGTTCGTTGATTGAAAGGATTGTAAAACTATGAACGTTATATTACATGGAGTTTGAATAGCTCTCATAAACGTCCTTATATATTAAGTTTGTTAGGAGAATCGTCTAGGGATTCACTAAGGGCTTAATTTGATTAGTGCTTAATATATAAGGCCATATGAATCACACATTAAGTGATTATACCTTCCAATTGAATTGTTAGAGAGAATTAAATATTAATTAGATTAAATAATATTTAATTCGTGATACTAAAAATAAGTTGAATTAGATATTAATTGGATTAAAGATATTCGAAATATGATGTTGCAGGATTGTACTATTTTATAGAACTAATTAAGTAAAATAAAATAGATTTATTATACTTAATTAAGATGTATTTTTAATTAAATAAAGTTCATATTTTTTGGCACACATTAAATCAAAGTAAAGCCAAAGTAATATGAAATATAAACATGTTAAAGTTTGAATTAGAATGCAGCGCGCATCTTATCTAATTCAACTTTAACGTTTAACATTTCATTTATTTCCTTTAATTAATTGTACATTAATGATTATTAGACCTGGTTGGACAGGAACTCATTAATTAGTGAAGACTTTCATTGTGATTGGGAAACTAGTTTAGAAATAGTATAAATATATCATCCTACTTCATAATTATTGACTAGTTTTAAAATTTAGTATTACCGCTTATTTCAAACGAATAGATTTTCTAGCATTTCTCTTTATGGAAATCTAACTATTCTGATAGAGTATATATAGGCCCAGACCCCATGACCCATACACTCAGATGACTAAATACAATCACAGCTGGCACCCACGTGGTCCTTATCGGCCAGATGGCCCTCCGTTGGCCAAAACCAGACGGATCTCAGAATACAGCCCATAAACTTAGGAACATAAATGGGTCCTCCGTCGGCCAGGCCCTCCCTCGGCCCGGTCCTCCGTCGGCCAAAGTAACTCCGGCAGAATAGATCTTATACTTAGTCAAATAAATCGTGTACTCAGCCCAATAGAGGCCTTATTTTGTACTTGGCCTCCCAAGCCTAAGACTTGCGAGCCCAAACCCACATTTTCCCCTGTAAATAGCCCCCTAGGGCTTAGTTATAGAGGGTTGAGAAATATTAATTGATCACTTTCTCTCTCTAGCTCTCACTTCTCTTTAGATTAATACTCTATCATTTGGTGCTTTCATTGAGAGTTAGAACAATCAAATTAGTATCCTTCGTCGCTACTTGCCACTGCTAATTGAAATGGTAAAGACAAGGTCAAACCGCAACCTCATCGGCAAAACTCTCCTCGACCCTCAGGAGAACCAAGAGAGGTCGGGTGACGCTATGGCCGACAAGATAGTGGAGGAAGAGGTCTTCCAAGAGACCACCGACCCCACTGTGGACCTTCGCAACAAGCTAAACGTCAACGCTCAAGATGCTTGCATCGGCCTTGAGAAGAAACGCTCAGAGAAGGGCGGCCATGCTTCGGGACAATAGACTACTCCCCATGTTGACCCTCAGCTCAAGGCCGCACTATCGGCCATCATTATCAGCTTGACCCAGAGCTCCACCGTCCTTAGCGCTCTCATGCCAAGGACGGGGGAGAACATGACACCGCCACCTCCTCCGATTGTCACCCTCATCAGTAATGATGAAGGCGTCGTCGCACAGGACACGGCGTCCCACACCGCCTCCCCTCCACGAGCGGTGCCAACCCCAGCGCGTGGTAACACCTCAACCTTCAACAGGCTAGGTGACACGCACCGTCGGTCCTTGTCAGAGAGGACGGAAGGACGGCTAGGTGAACGTGAGCTTGGCTCACCCAGAGAAAATTTGGGGTCAGTGTCTCGGACAGCGGACCGGCCCTGCATAGATAAAGGAAAGGGCAAGCTACACGAGGAGGATGCACGCCATCAGATAAACTAGGCTCATGTGGTCTGAGTCCAGACCCAGCAAGGAGCCGCCACGGTCGTAAGAGATCTCCTAGATGAAGTAATCTCCCAGCTTGAGAGGCGACTGGCCTAGATGGAAGCAAGACAGCTGGCTGGAACTACTACGGTCGATACTTCTCGAGACCTCGACTACAACGCCCTCTTACACAAGGTCAACAACTTGGAGAGGGAGCTGGACGAAGGACGCGGCGATCCCATCATACAAATCTGGACAAAAAAATCTTCACCCGTGGAAATACGGGAAGACTTGAATTATGTCGTGCAACCGGTGAAGATACTTGACAGGCAAGTCAAGAAATTGAGAAGCAAGAAAGTTCCAATGGTTAAAATCCTTTGGAAAAGTGACCGAGTTGAGGAGGAAACTTGGGAGACGGAAGCTTTGATGAAAGAGCAATACACGTTTTTGTTTGAATGAGCATTGTGAATTTCGGGGACGAAATTCCCGTTAAGGGGGGGTGAACTTGTAACACCGACCCCGAACATATTTACTTTTAGTAAATTATGTAATAAACCTTGAAAGATGATTTATGAATTTGCGTAAATGTAAATTTTTATTATTTCTTTTACGTGAATAGTAAATTGCATGTGGGGCCCACAGCGGGACGGGGACCGCCCGATAATTCCCGAACCACATATTATATTCATCTTGGTCTAGATAATATGTATATGGTGGTGGATATTTTATTTGGGCCATAAGAAAGGCATGGGGTTGACCGGTTGGTCAAACGGGGCCCAAATTACCGGTATTGGTAATTTAACGGATAACAGCCCGAAATGAGTTTCGGAGACTCCTAAATTAATGTTGGGAAATGTACATCTATTCTAAAGGCCCATAATTATTAGGAACATGTGATATATTTTATTTGGCCCGATAAAATAAAATATAATTAAAACGGGCCGAGAAATACAACTTTCGGGACCAATTGTACACACCGAGACATAACGGGATGACCTCCCACCTAAGTGGGGGCCACCCCACGTTCCTTTAGACTCCAGCAGACAAGGGAGGAGCTGGAGGAGACCATGGAAAGTGTGTGTGTGCGGAGTCATTAAGTGAGGGGATGGCATGAGTCAAAATTGCCATTTTTAGGACCCTACTCATACATTATTTTGCTTGATTGAGTAGAGGTGCCTCCCCCCTTCCCATTCCACTCATTCAGCCAACACAAGAGGAGAGAGAAGGGCTCCAGGAAGCTATCTCAGCAGGCCATAGTTGGAGGAAGCTAGGAGGAAGAAATCCTAGGAGAAAACTAGCTAAGAAGAAGGTAAGAACTCATCTACCCTCTTTTAACTAGTTTTATCATGTATGATTTGTAAGAAATCATATGGTGGATTAAACATGATGTTTTACACGTTTAAAAGTGTGGAATATTGTTACAAAGTGGTGGTAATTAAACATGATGTTTTACACGTTTAAAAGTGCAGACTACGAAAGCCGCCCGGCTTTCGTGAAAGCCGCCCGGCTTTTGCCCAGGCAGTCCGGTTTTTGCCTTTCATCGGTTTAAAACGAGGATTTATCGGGAAGCTCAGCAAACGCAACTATTTCAGCACATCATAAGGTGAGGATGGCTGACTATATTGCTTATAATTAGTGAGTTAATTTCATGAGATTACCGAAGGTAATTAAATGTGTTTTTATGGATTATTAATGATTAATAATGCCTAAAAATGAAAAGACTAAATGTCTAGAGAAAAAGGAGCATGATATACAAATTTAGGAGTAAATTGTGTATGTTCGTGTGTTATGAGTATGTTGACTTGAAAGTGGAATTTATTATGAAACATGTGTTGAAATATACTTTTTCTTCATATTAGAATATATGAGTGATTAAAAGTGATATTTTGGATATTGAGATAAATGATATTTTCAAAGGAAAATCAGTTGGAATTGTCTATATGACTATGAGTTGAGAACTTGGTTTGTTGATATTAATTTGACTAGTATTAAGATACTAGTTGGACATTAAGATGAAATGTTGTTAAGATTGATCCTAAGGTTGGATTGTGAAATGTTATGCCTTAAGTAGTCTTAAGAGATGCTTTAAGGTAGGAAAGTATGAACTCTAAGTTATACTAGGGGTAGGCCTTAAGGGATACCCAAGATAAAGTAAATAATAAATTGATCCTAAGTATAGGATTGACCTACGGGTGTGTTCAGTAGTCCTTGTGGATAGCCGGTTGAATTATGGAAATAGTAAGGACCATGGCCCTTCCCGACTCTAGAGAGCGGGTTGGATAGCATGGACTTACATCGTGATCACGGGTTAGGGTGGAATCCGAATCGGAGACCTAACTAGGTTCCGGTAGCGGTAACACATAAGATAGGACCCCGAAGGGCCTTACCTTCCTACGGGATGATGGGTACGAGTCCAGGGGCGGGATGTTGGAGTCCGAACCGGGAGCCCCATGAGGTCTCGGACAGCGGTAGCAAGTCCCGTAGAAATAATAAGACCCAAGGGTTGGGTTGTGCAAATGCTAAATGAAAAGGAATAAGTAAGAAGGGCCGTGCGCCGACAAATAAATGAATTTACTTATTATAAAGATAATAAGTGGGAAATATAAATTATTATTTATATTATGATATCACCCTATTTTGAGGGTCTTGGAAATTAAAACGTTGATTATACTTAGTATAGTTGCTATTGTACTTGTCAAATATTTCCAAGTACTGACCTCCCCTTCACGGGGGAGGCCACCTCACAGTTTCAGGTAGAACTTTAAGTTGCTACCATTGCCCGTTGCTTCGGGAGGCTCAAGGGAGGAAGACGTGGTTCGTGCTTCTTCCGTTCTGTTTTAAAAACAATGAAGTTAATGCTCATGGATACTATTTTATTAATAATTACTTTGGGGGATTGTATGCCTAGTTATGCCAAGTGTGGCTTGAACAATTGTATTAACGCTTCCGCTACTTTAAATGCATGTTTTACATTATGTTTGTTTATGATATTCATGACGCCTTGTATAGTATGGATGAGTTGGACTGCGGTTGACTATTCGTACTGTACGGCGGGTTGTTGACGTGTCCGGCTAGGTCCGGGGCGTGACAGGACCCCTTCCAAGAGGCTCGGGCAACAATTGGTACATCATCGTCGCCATAGATTACTTCACCAAGTGGATTGAAGTGTAGCCACTGGTTAGCATCACCGTGGTGCGGTGCCGGAAGTTTGTCCTCAAAATCCCTACCCGCTTCGGCGTTCGTCAGGAGATCATATCAGATAATGGCACTTAGTCCGAGGTCGCACCATTCCAAGAACTCCTCCGAGCATGTTGAATCAAGCATAGTTTCTCCTCCGTGGCCTACCCTCAAGGCAACGGACAAGTCTAGAACACCAACAGAACCATCTTGGAGGGCTTAAAGAAGAAGCTTGAAGACGAAGGAGGTAGCTGGGTGGATGAACTTCACAACATTCTATGGTCCTATCGCACTACGCCGAGGAGAGCAACCAGCAAAACACCATTTACCCTATGTCACAGCTTCGAAGCAAAGGCACCAACATAGGTTACATTGCCCAGCCGAAGGGTTGAAGAATATGACCCCGAAGAAAATGATGAAAACATGAAGATCGACTTGCACCTCATCGACGAGAGATGCGAGCAAGCCTACCTCAGGGATGAAAACTACATACGCCAAGTCAAATCCTACTATGACGTCAGAGTCCGTTCCCGAGATTTTCAAGTGCGGGATTATGTCCTCCGCCGATAGGAGGCCAACAGGCTGACGAAAGGCGGAAAACTGACCCTGAAGTATGAAAGGCCTTACATCATCAGTGCCGTAATCAAAGTCGGCACATACAAACTCAGGCACCCGCATGGGTTAGAAGTACCACGATCGTGGAATGTACATCATCTGGTGAAATTCTATCAATAATCCGAAGGCGGTGTAGTCGGGCCAAGCCCCCACCCCTGAGGTCAGAAGGTCATTAAGAAGCCAACTCCTTTGTGAATTATTGATAGACTACCACCACCCGGCCTCTTGCCATTTATCTATATAAAACATCATGTTCTGCTTACTTTGTGAAATTTAAGTAAAGGAAAACACACACAAACTAAGCATCATCCCAGCCCTTTTGAGGTGAATTACCCAGGTATGGCCGACAACGTCTAGGACGCAGGGCCTGAAAAATGGCACACGTCTTGAAAGGAGAAGCTTACTGCGTCCCTTCGAGATGAATTTTACTATGTAGTAAATAAATGTTACTAAGTCACATTTTTATTCATCCTACGCATTATTTTGATACTTCGTATATACTAGTATTAAGAATTACTACGTATTGTATTTCTTAAAACCATCACACAATTTTATTTCAGTAATTCTTTTTCGTCTACCAAATGAAAAAAATCAATTGATATACTCTTTAGAATTTCTCTTCAAAGAATATTCTCTTCAAAAATATTCTCCGTATTAAAAAAGTGATGAAGCATATTGTTGGAAATATAACAGTCTAACCTACTGCATTTAATTTATTAATATATAATCATGTACAAAGTGTTGTACATCTGCGTCCCAAGGAGAAGATAGAGGGGCTCAAATAGACAACCCAATGAGGAGAAGGGAGACACGAAAATATTATTCGTTTCCGTACTCATGTCATTTAATTACTTCCTCCGTCTCATAAAATAATTCTCACTTTTCTACTCGCACCGGTAGCTCAGTTGATCGAGTGGTGGGAGATTTGGAACAATAGACCAAGCTTCGAATCCCCGCAGCGACCGGGTGAAGGTCACAGAACTGAAATAAGGCTGGACGTCTGGTGCGCACGGGTGTATGGACCTACTGCCATTCTGGTGACTGAGTCACCGTGACTAACCTTCCCACCATCCTATCGGGTCGGGGTGGGGGTCTCCTGGGGTGGGAGATTCCATCTTTTGGAACAATAATTCTAACATTTATTTACCTTATTTTTACTCAACCACAATCATACATTTCCACTTTATTCTCACTTTCTTAAACTCCGATCCAAATTGAAATGAGTATTGTTTTATGGGACGGAGGTAATATAATTATTGCATTTGGTCCAAAAGGTGGAATCTCCCACCCCAAGAGCCGACAAGATGGTGGAGGAGTTAATCACGGTGACTCAATCAGCAAAGCGGCAGTAGACCTTATACATGTGCGCTGCGGGTTTCAAACCTTGGTCACTTGGTCCAATTTTCCCACCACTCGACCAACAGATACCCGTGCGGGTGTATAATTATTGCATTCGTTCTTCGTATACATCACTTGGTCCAATTTAAACGTAATTTTAAACTTCGGTTAAATTGTCTGAAAAAAATTGTTTTGCGAAGAAAATCGTTTCTCATTCCAACAAAAATATTTGATTGTGTCACGGACAAAAAATATACTCCCTCCGTTCCTAAAAAAATTTCCAACTTTCCTTTTTTGTCTGTTCTAATTAAATTTCCACTTTCTCTTTTTGGTAAAGAATTTGTGGTTCACAACATTTCTTACACGTTTCTCTCTCCTCTGCACAACTCTCAAGCACACAATATCCATTTTTCTTAAATTGTGTGTCAAAGTGGGTTGGAAGATAAAATAGGAACGGAGGTAGTACATGTAATAAAAAAAATCTCTTTAAAAACGAGAAATAATTATCTATACACAAAAAATTTGAGGACGTAGGAAATGACGTGTAGAAACATCTATTCTCTCATTATTATTTTTATTCTTTAATAATAGTAATGATAATCATCGGTCGGAAGTAGATAACCCCCCCCCCCCCCCCCCCCGCATACTGCACAAAAGTCTACCTCAAATTCAACTCCTTTCCCTTCTCATTGCCCTTCAAATACTTCTTACTAATATACTCATAAACAGTACCTGTTCAATAAAACCCAAAAAGTAACTACCTACTCCTTCCTATATAACCCTCAACCCATTTCACTTCACACCACAACCTTAATCAATCCACTCTCTGTCTCTCCCTCTGTTCCTCAAAATACACACAAATTTACGTATATCTAGACTAGATGGGTTTCAATGATTTTTGTAGCACCGGCCTTGTTTTGGGATTAGGCTTTTCGTCTTCATCGCCAGATCAACCGTCAAAGAAACCGGCGGCTAGAATCGCCGCTGCCGCCGCGTCTGTAGGATTTCAGCCAGACTTGACTCTCAGCTTGTCCGGTGAAACCTTCGACCAGCAGACCGCCGCCGCTAAGATGATCGCAGTGTCGGGTTTGACCATCAACAAGGCTGCCGTTGACCACTCCGCTGATTTGTACCGACAGGACAGCGCGGCCTCCTCGTACTCCAACGTTAGCGTTAAGCGGGAGAGAGAGAGCGACGAAGGAGAGATAGAAAGAGTTTCGCCGAGAGCCGTCAGCGATGAAGATGACGACGTCGCTAACGGCAGGAAGAAACTCCGTCTATCTAAAGGACAGTCCGCGCTTTTAGAGGAAAGCTTTAAACAACATAGCACTCTCAATCCTGTATGTCCCTCCCTCTAATTAACCTTTAATTAATTTAGTATTTAATTATAATTGTCTCTAATAAATTCATTGTTTTGATTTATTTTCAGAAACAAAAACAAGATCTGGCAAGAGAACTCAATCTCCGGCCCCGACAAGTCGAAGTCTGGTTCCAAAACAGGCGTGCCAGGTAATTAATTAATTACAATTTCGATTCGATTTCATACACTGTGCTAGTCCCTTTTCTAATTAATTAAGGAATTAGTTAGTTAACGGCGTTGCAATTAATATCTAACAGAACAAAGCTGAAGCAAACGGAAGTAGACTGCGAGTTTCTGAAGAAATGCTGCGAGACGCTAACGGAGGAGAACCGGAGGTTACAGAAGGAGGTGCAAGAGCTGAAAGCGTTGAAGGTGTCGCAGCCGCCGCTGTATATGCAGCTGCCGGCGGCGACGCTGAGCATGTGCCCGTCGTGTGAGAGGATCGGCGGCGGCGGCTCAGCCGTGGAAACGTCCAATAAGAAGATCAACCCTTTTACGATGATGGCTCCCAAGCCTCATTTCTTCAACCCATTCACCCACCCATCCGCTGCTTGTTAGTTGATTTACGTGTTTAACCAGTCACCTATTCCTAGCTATATACACATATATTGCATCACGATCATATCTATTTTATATTTATTACTATTAGTCTATATATATAAATACGTCTGATATTTATATAGTGGATATACATAGTACATCTGATCTGAAACGTACCCCCCAACCACCTTTTTTTGGTGAGGGCTTGTGATCGTCCAAAAATGGTTAATTATCAATTATTACTAGTATGTAAGTAGAGACACGAATTAGAGATTACTAATCAATCTCTTTGTTTCTTTGTCATATATGTTTTGTAAATCATAATTATTTATTAATAGATTATTGTCGTTGCTATGATTATTATATATGATGGGTGATTAATTATTTTTGGTTCATCTTCATTTGATCATTTCACAATTGTGAACTCACGATTATGCGATGTATGACTATATCATACATTGGACTTTGTCGAATTCCATTCAATAATTGAGGGAAAGAACCCAGCAAAGGTAGCAAAAGTGATTCGAGAAATTAATGATTTAAACACAGTCAATGCAACTTGCATGATGCTTATCAACGTTGGACTTAATTAAATTCCTAAATACGAGCAAAGCAAGTCCTATATGCGACCAGTTGGAGTATAACTTTCCGTATGTTCCTAAAGCAGATATTAGCGGTAAAGACTAAAGAGACAATCATCATCACAAGCATAATTGTAACTCAAAACTATTGACGGAGTACAAGGATTCCAACAACTTGCAGCCTCAATGCTAGGCTTGCTCAACTCGCATCACCTTTGTCCATCGTCTATCTCAAATTTAAATTTCAGCTATTTTTGAATTTTGATAATACTCCCTATATATTTTCGACTTATCATATTAATTAAGTTATTGAGTTGACGGGATGAATGAATAAATTTTAAGTATTTATTTTTCAAAATTAGTTTTTCCTTGGCTTTTATTTTGTAATATGAGTATATCTTTGATACTCGGAGTATAATTTTTACAAATTTCAGCTCAATCAGTTATGCCATTTTAAGCCACGGCTTCAATAATTTTACTACTTTCATCACCAAACGTGCTCTTAGAGCATCTCCAATGCTAATTTATGTATTTTTGGTAAGTTTTATAGACACAAAATATTAATTTATGACATTTCTCTCTCTTTCTTTCCACGATCTTATGTATTTTTGGTAAGTTTTTGTCTGCAATGTCAACCGCAATGTCTACATCTAGACATTGTGTTTGACATTGTGAAGAAAACCTTACCAAAATTATGTAAGATCCTTCAAATAAGGAGAGAGATATTCTACCGATTGATTTTTAATTGGTTATTTATCATGCCACATATGCACCGTTAACGTTTTAGCATTGAAGATGCTCTTACTGCTTTGAATTGAGTAAATTATCATTTTAATACAAAAATAGCATTGAAATGTAAAATCGTGAAAAGGAAGATTTTAACAATATTTTTTTTACAAAGGCTACATCCATGCCCCATCTTCAAATAAGCTTCATAGAAATAGTTGTGGCTAAAACTTAATATTCTCCTAATAACATACTCTCTTTGTACATAAAAACTGTCATCTTTCTTTTTTTGTTACAAAATTTGGTCACTTTCAATTTTAATCAATGAATTTGTGATTCTTGTCAATTCTCTATCCTCCATACAAACCTCAATCGCACAATTCTAACTTTATTATTTCCTATGCCAGACAAGTTTGATAAAGTTTTGAGGAACTGAGGGAGTATAATATTCCGTACAATGTTTAGTTGTTGTGATTTATATGTTTAGAAGCTATACTAGAATTGAACTGCAAAATTGAAACTTGAAGGTGATGAAAGCAATTTGATAGTCCTTGGGGGACGGGTGACCGAGGGTAGCAGGATCCAAGTAAGAAGTTAAAGAGAGAAAATATGAATTTGAGTTAGAAAACTTGCGGAGTAACAGTGTGCTAGAAAATAATTTTGGATCACTTCCCACAAGTCGGAAGGTGACTATTTAGAGTGCAAATATCTGATACTTGGTTAACGAGTAATATAGATAGTCTTCATGTACATACTGATTGGTGAGAGGGTTGTTGATTGATTGATTTTCCTTTGTACGGGTCATTGTCCTATGTAGCGAAACATCTGGACAAGCCACACATGCACATCGTGATATCCGGTGTTTATAACAGATTTGGTGGCGTCATCCCTAGAGTTAATTATTCCCTGGTGGCACTATCTTTGATTTGTCTAGAATGTTTGTGCTGAAACGTCTAAATTCACACATCAATGCAGTGTGCCAAGCTCGGCTACACGTAGGTGTAATAATGTTTTGCTCACGTGTGAGGAAGCTCAGCTCCATATTGATGAAGCTCAGCTTAATATGACGCGAATTAGTTCAGATATGATGGGATCAGTTCAGATATGGTGAGGCTCGGCTTAGATATAAAGAGGCTCAGCTCATTTATGATCTTTAGTTTGGATTATGATGGCTCGCGTGTAACGAGCTTGACCTAAGCGGTTTATCTTGCTAGTCATTGGTATTTGATGCCTGATTGGCCTCGACTATAGTTCTATGGACCCACATTGATCCTGACCACGGCTCGAGAAGTGAGCTTAGCCTTGATCACAATTTTGAAGTTCTTTTGTTGATTTGAGAACCAGATTCAAGCTCGGCCTCAGCTCAGGTGCTCAACTTGACCGTGGCTGGTTGATATTGTCTTAGTCAAATGTGGAGGTTTCTTTATGATTTACTATGACCCCTAGTGTATATGGCAATATACTTCTTCACGATTAATGGCAAAGAAAATTCCTACATATATAGAAGTAAAACATACATAGTATAACATTGTTTAGATAGAAGTTTCATTATTTTCTTTCATAAGCAATAAACTTGTTCACTCCCTTTTGAGGAGTTTTTTCATAAGTCATAGTTTGAGAACTAAACATACTTAATTATGTTATTAGAGCAATATCTTTTAATGAGAAACTTAAGATATATGACATGTGAAGTTTATTTAAGATACAAACTGGGTTTGTATGGAGTATTTGTATTAGTGTAATTTATTATAACAAACAAATCGAGTATATGCATAATGCTGAGATTGCTCATTAAAAGTGTGTCAACACGGGCGGAGCCATGGAACTGGACCGGCACAAAGAATATTTTTTAAAAAAAAAATACATGGAATTTTTTACCATAAAAATTATGACATTTTTTAAATATGAGGTGGGCCAGGACCTAGGTTGGCCCTCCCCTACTCTGCCCCTGCGTGTCAAGTTAATTATCTACGTGAATAATGCAAGAGAAGGTGTGTATAAATAGATTTTTAAAGGATAGTTTGTATTTTATTTTGAAACAATAAGATAGTAGATAAATTATACTCCGTATGATATCTCGAGAAACATATTTCTAGATCATAATAAAATTGTGCATATTTTTGGTTACATAAGATTAATAACATGGCTTTTATGTGCGTTGTAGGAGGCATCCACGCCGGAAGTGGTGGAATTGGTCGCGAGGTGCAACTGTGACAACAATTGTTACTTGCTACGATTGTTGTACGTTATTTGATTTAAACACGTGATAATTGTAATTTGTTACTCCAAATAAAATATGGGAGTAAATTTTCTTCAAAAAAAACCTAGTTTTTTTTATCATCAAAAAAACCTAGTTGAGAAAAAACATTACATTCTCCAAATAAACATTACCAAACTCAAACTTATTAATTGATACAAAGTATACATCAAAATCAAACAATCTACAAACTACATGAAAATAGATTACACCCTACTAATAAACTCATAATTAACCTACATATTAACTTATGTGCATTATTTTTTATTTGGTATTTTTCAAAAATATTACAAAAATAAAATTTATTTACAAAAATATGACTAATAGTTATTACTCCATCCGTATCACTTTAGTTGCCCTACTTTCCTTTTTGAGATATATCAAATTAATTGTCTCATTTTCATTTTGGAAAGAGATTCACCCAAAAAGCAGTTACAGTATCACTATAGTACTGTTACAGTACCGCTACAGTATCAAAAACATCTTACTTTTTATATATACATAGTAGTATAAAGTCTATCATAATCTGTGGCGGACCCACTAAGGGTCCCACAGGGTCCCGGGACTCCGCGTACTTCCAAATTAAAACATACCTATATATTTTATATATTTTATTTAAAATTTACTTATAATTGTATATATAATACAAAAATAAGTATGAGTCCCAAAGAATGGAGTAGAGCAACGGAGAAAAGGCTTTAAAAACCTTTTCTTTTCCTAGAGGTGCAAGTATCGATTCCCTCTCACTCATATTCCTCTTTTTTTGGTTTATTATTGTAAAAGATCACAACTACATCCTTTTGCCTTTTTTAAAAATCACCAACTTTACACTTTACATAATTCAATTAATTATTAAAATTTCTATTATGATTTTCCATTATTAAGTGAAGAATTGAATAAATAATCGGTGAATATGAAATTAATTTGGCTGACAATACACATGATCAACATGTTTATTTTGAATCTTTAGAAGCTTATCCTGGTTTGAGAAAAAAAAATATTGATTTGCATCCTAATGTTCAAGACGAGGTGCGCCATAGTAGGGACTATGAAACGTTGTACTACTTTAATATTTGGAATTTTATCAATTCAAAACTTGAAAGGTAAATGAATTATCAATCCGAGACCTGAACGAAGAAATTTATAGATATAAGACTCAAATGATGAAAATTGTCAATTTAGGACTTGAATGATTGAAGACTATCAATCTCGGACCTATATTGTCATGAATTTTTATTATTTTTATGTTAAAATTTTTAAATATTATTTAGTTTTATTAAACTAATAAACTTTTGTGGAAAAAAGTTTATCAAAAACTAGCAAAGGAATTAATAAAAAATAAATCAATCAAAATCTATGAAATCTTAGATCCTAGATTGACAATTTTCATCATTTGGGTCCTATATTAATACATTTCATCTTTCAGGTACCAAATCTATAATTTATCTATCTTTAAGGTCCTGAATTGATAAAATTTCTTAATATTTTGATTAAGCACATTAATTATGAAATGTTATGCTAATTTAATATAATATACTTACATTTTTTTATTTTTTATTTGTTAGAGTTACATTAAGGTAGGGACCCCGTGACTCCAACTTTTTGGGTCCGCCACTGATCATAATTGTCTAAAACTTCGTGAAAAAACCAATGAGACAACTAAAGTGATTCAGAAAAGTATAATGTAATGTCATGTTAAAGCTTAAAAGTTGAATATAAATTACTGTGGTTTTATTACTACTCTAATCACTAGACACATTTTTGTAAACAATCCTTATTTTAATCATAAATATGGAATTACTTTATATTTTTATCATCTA